ACTTCACGGTCAGGGCGGCTAGAGTCTGGAACCAGCTTCCAAGTGAGGTGGTGCAGGCTCCCACCCTGGGGGTTTTTAAGAGGAGGTTGGATGACCACCTTACTGGGGTCATTTGACCCCAGTGCTCTTCCTGCCATGGCAGGGGGTCGGACTAGATGATCTGCTCAGGTCCCTTCCGACCCTAGAAACTATGAAACTAAGTCATAGAAAGTAGTAGTTAGGAGTTTCTAGGGTTAAATGTGTTGAAATAATTTAACTACTAAAATATTAAACTGATTGTTTTAATAATGGTCAGTGTTGCTTACTTTCACTGTGGGGCTCTCCTGGTGTGTGGAGCTATTAATATTGAAATTTCTCTCTCCAAAAACAGAACGCTGGATAGAATGGTGCACAGACCCTTCCTATAAATACCAACAAAAAGGACAATAAGGATTCTGTCTTACACACTGCGGGGCTGTAATTTGTCAGTTTTAAAGTCATTTCACACTCTTAAAAATAAAAGCAGCTGCATGCAAGTCATTTTCAGGCATCAGTTTACTGTAGTTGAAGAAAACTTAGTCTAGACAACAGTAAACATACTTACAAAATAAATCATTCCTCACAAGTACCCCAAGACAGCCTTGAAGGCCATCTGTATAAGAACTGTATTCTGGTATATAACTAAAACAAACTAGAAACTCTTCTGGGACTGGGAATGATGCTACGATGCCTGTTACTAAAATATTAAATAAACCCTTTTTGGGTGTGCACAGCATGCAATGTTACATGAAAACCCACTAATGTCAAGCCTAGATGTGAGAGACATTGAACGATGTGCAGTAATGTACAAAGCTAATGTCGTTGTACAGAAAGTAGCTCAATTTTTGTGAAAAAAATAATTTTTATGCAACATATAAAACTATTGTGTAAGTGCACACACATTATTTGAAGATTTTGAACTAAAAACTAAGTTCTGTTCTAGTATTACATCTCCCCCTGTTGGAGGAAGTAGTACATTAAAAATAAACTTATACAGCAATATTAATGAAAGAGACTCAGAACCTTTCCTTCTCTTCCTTGTTTAAGCTGTATTTGTGAAAGTGAGCCGGATCTTTTATCTGATGATTTTGAGGCTGACTGTTGAGCTATCTGTTTAGGTGATGTGATATTGATAGAAACCCCACTTCCTATGTTTATATGGGGCGTATTTTGTGAGCAACTTCCCTGCTGGCCTTCAGACTGGATAGTTTTGAGGAGCTCTATTTTTGTCTCAGGGGTTCCTTGTGCCAAACCAAAATCTACCAGGGCATACCTAGAAGGAATAAATTTAAAAAACAAATTAAAGAAAAGCTTACTCAGACTTTACAAAAAAAACCAGTTTACCTTCTGTTCTAAGGAAAAGGTTTATATCCCCATTAAAGACACGCTTGACGTGCACCGAATAAACAACTCAGTGGTTCTCAGATAGGGTACTATGGCACTCTGGAGTGCATCAAGGCCCCTTTAAGGGTGCTATGCAATACCAAGTGTGCAAACACCTACCTGTGACTCACAAGATAAACTCAGTAATTTTAAACAGGAAACCATAGTGTCAAAAACACTCTGAGTTCTTTGCAACAGAAGAATTACTGTTGTTTTTCCATAGTCAAGAAACAAATGAAATCTAAGAGCTACCATGTTCCAAAGGGTGTCTTGATTCTAATGAGGTTGAGAATCACTGGACTAACTGAATCAGGGAATTACCATCTGGCAAAGGGAGTTGTTGTTCATGAAAATGTACGCATCTCTGATAGTTAGTCTTGAAGGTACACCCTCCATCCTGCTCTCTGCCTAATTCATTCTAACATGGCTAATTACCTTTCTCCATACAGCATAGGAAGACAGGATAATACAATACATTTAATAAAAATAAACCTCATAGCCAGTGCTGACCAAATACAAGAAAATTTGATAAACACGAGTGAGAGCTGATTAGCATTCAGTGAATACTATTCAACCAGTACAGTTTACTGCTAACCTTGCACCTCTTCCATTTTCTGTTGTTTGTGGTAGACTGTTTCCCTCAGCTTTTCTCAGTGGCTTTGCCTCTTTTATGTACTCCTCCCTCTGAAATTTATATATACTTTCTCCCCATCACCTCCTCTCCCAAGCAAGTGTTTACAATTCCTCCCATCAACCTCACTTCTGGGTCCTTTTCCTTAGCCAACACCACCTTCATAGCTCAGAACTACCCAAGGCAACAGTGGAGTTAATCTGACTTGATCCTTATTGATTTCATTGCTGTCTGCAGGGTACCAAAAAGCAGTGAAGACTGACACAACTTCTCCATTTTCAGAACGCTGAATTTGGGCAAAACTCAGCATCATCACTGGAGCTGGCTGCACACTTCAGAAGGTAGGACCGCATTAGTTTAAACTCAATTCACATTTGACAAAAGTTTTTTGCAACCATTAGAACTACAAGATTTTTTTTTTTTTTTTTTTTTTTTTTTTTTTTTTTTTTTTTTTTTTTTTTTTTTTTTTTTTTTTTTTTTTTTTTAAACAGACTGACTGATTTGCAATGAACTTTTGTGGAACCACTCACCCAGAAAAGCTTATTATTTGGCAAGGATGAATAATTCTGGGCCATCATTTTGTTACTTAATTGCTATAGTTGAATCACAAATTCAGAGAATGCTCCACTCTTTAGAAATTAAAGAATGCTGGTCTAAAATGCCTTTTGGTAGAGTAAATGAGCAACACAGTAGGCACTTATCTTCTGAGAATTAGCAGCATCCCTTCTACAGGGTGTACACTATGTGGAGAGTTAGGAAATACTCACCAAGGCATCACGCTGCTAAGATACTTCCAATAAAGGCAAGGCAGCTATTGCCTTTTTCTATCTCAGTACCTCACAAATTTGGAAAATACAACATTAGCACAGCTTTAATTTGATTTACTTGCAGACAAAATAAAACCACCTGGCTTTGTTTGAAGAAAAAAAAAGCAGTTTAGTACAAGAGAGAAAGCTCAAGCACAATTCTGTTACTATGCACATACTATGAATGATGCAAAATACAAACAAGTCAATAAGTACACTGAAAATCTATACAGTGCAAAAATATAAAGATTAATATTAGCAATATTCAAGCACATAGTGATTTTATTGAGATTAATTTCACCCTTCAGCATGCAACAACTTTACAGTTTTATTCAGTGATCTTAAATTCAGTTATTTTTTTTAAAGAACAATATTTGCCACTTGAATCCGGACCATTTCTTTCCAACTTACTATATTATTTCTTCTCCTCCACCCTAACGAAATCCCTAAGCACTAAATAAGAAAAGTTACATACATTTAGCTTTCGTGTTTATGCACATGGTGTACAGCTGGAAGGGAAAAAACCCCAAGAACTTAATTTACTATGCTCTGCCAAGGCATGTATTCCCAAATGAGATCTCAATAGTCATCTGGGCAGACTTACTCTTTCAGCCGCCTGTTGTAAAGGAAGTTACTGGGCTTGACGTCACGGTGAACAATACCAAAGTGATGAATACGCCTCAATGCTTTAAACAGATTAAACATATATTCTCGTACTTCTTCAAAAGACAGTGTGTTCAAAATGTCCTGAAAGATTAATTTGAATCCTGCAATTATGCAACTGTTCATAATTAAGTTTTACTGTTCAAATAAAAAGAAGGCTGAGACTCACCAAAAAGGATTCATGTTCCAGATATGGCATAATAATAACCACATGATCATTTTTTCTAAAACAATATTTAACTCCCATGACATTATCCTGTCCCCTGTAGGAAAAAACATAATACCACCTGTGAGTGGAAAGGTAGAAAATAAGGGTTTACATTAAAGGCTTGTAGACACAAATAGAAATAATGCTTTTGGTAACAGGAACTCTTTAAGATAATGGGTGTGTCTACACATGCATTCGATCTGGGAGCAATTTACTGATGAGGCATCTACATGTGTAGGGAAGCAGGAGCAGATTTGCTGCCAAAGGCAGCAAACTGCTTCCACTTCCTGAGGCCCTGCAATGGGCCTCTGCCGCCACCAGGGACTGGTAGGGAGCAAAGGGCCAGGAGATAGCTGTCTCCTGGCCAGGGCTGGGACATCACTGCCTACTTCTGGGGTGGGGACAATGTCTCCTGCCCTGGCAGCATGGAGCTCCTACTCAGGATCCCTGATTCGGGTAGAAGACTTGGAAAGAAATTCCAGGAAGGGGAAGGTCCCGGCCTCTACCCCTTTCCGCCAGTGGGACAGCTAGCAAATAGCTCCACAGTTCCCAACCCCCACTCTGCCATCACAGGGTGGAGGTTGGGGATCCTGCTCAGCTTCATGACCATGCAGCTGGGTGGGGAACAGGTGGGAGAAACCACAGAGCTCAGGCTGATGGTGAAGTGGGGGCTGGGAGATAAGAATCTCTTAGACCCAACTCTCCAATCACAG